ACTTGACTTATAAAAGACTTCACAGGCTGGCGCTGGTGACATCCTTACTACTGATGACGAGTTTGATGACTTGGCCTTTGCTGAGGAGGACAAAAGGGGAGCAGCAAGTCTGAGTCACATGCAAAGCAGGTGTTTGTAGGCATTAAAAAACACTAATGCAATTAGTCCAGCAACATCATCAAAAACCAATAAATCTGTTGTATTCCTGTTACTTTTTGTTACTAAGGTTAAACACTTCAGGTTTTGAACAATGTAAGTAAAACACAAAGACTCAAATAGAACCCAAATAGAGAAGGGCTTCTTGGCTGACCTGTTAAAAGGATTTGAGCCCTTGACTGAACACATGGACTCACACACTCTGCCTGGTGATCTGTGTTGACCTGGGCATCTGTAGATGGCTAATGCTTCTGGCAGATGGCTTGGTGCATGTGCTATTACTCACATTTTGAGGACTGAAAAATGTTTACACCCCCATACTGTTAGGACTTGGCCTTCCTTGTAGGCACCAGATATAAATCTTTGAATTTTAGGGGGACAACTTGGTTTAGGTTTAGGCTGAGGTTTGAACTTATACAAGTAGTGGTTATGGTTAGGGCTAAGGTAAGTATCCAAGAGATTAATGTAAGTTAATAGAAAGTCCCCATAGGAAATGAGAACAAATGTGTGGATGTGTGCATTTGTAACAGCTGTGCTATCATTTGTGTTTGTGTTTATGTGTGTTAAGCATTCAGGCAGAGCAGTAGCTCACAGACGAAACAGGTCAGTGAAAATATCAGGTTTGATTGGACACTTTTACCAGAATAAACATAAAACCTGCTAAATGTTGCTTGTTATTGTCCTATTTAGATTAATCCAGGAAATGATTTTGATTGATGATTTCTATTAAACCATGGCTGCAGGAAATACACTGTTCTGATTGGCTGTCACACTATACAGGGACACTTCAAATATTATCTGAGTCGATTGTTTAACTGTTTCCACTGTTTTATGAATGTTGTATAAAATTACAAGATAGGGAGATAATCTTTTTTTTATGTAAATGGTCATTACTGCCTCTAGCTAAGTAGAGGAATCCAATCAGAGGTGCCAGTCAAAGCTGTCAGAATGCCTCTCTGTTTTAAGCCAAATTCATCAGCATAGGCAACTGATATACACTGTTGAATGCTTAGTTTCTACAGAGTTGGTAATTTAACCAAGTAGTACTGGCTGCAGGCTGCAGGCAGGCAGGGTTGAACATTGGGCTGTGTGTGTTTGTTTGTTTGTTTGTTTGTTTTTAGTAAAAGTTGTCCCAAATTGTGGCTCACTAAACATAAGTTGTAAAGTAATGTTGTAAAGTTGTGAAATAGGATAGCTCACGATCAAACTTTGACAGTATTTTATACTATTCTGGATTTTCTGGGTAAATTAAAGTGAGATTACATAAGAAATCCCCCTCAATCTCTATCAACAAATTGTGTGTCCTGTTGATGGTGAAATGCGATGTCTCTGTGTTGTGTGTGTGTTTCATAATCCGAGGGTTTGCCTGTAGGAACAGGTACAGGAATGCAGCAATGGAGGCAGCTGAGAAATATCGTCACTGGAGCCTGTGTAGGTGATATGAAGTTTACAGTGTGGGTTTGTGTTTATTGTATGAACATATGTGTTTGTGTGTGTGAGGTGCGGCTCTGCCTTGCGTTATCTGTGCATTCCTAACTACACCGACTCCTCTACATGACTGCCATGGCAACCCAAAAGGGAAAAGGCACTGCATTTGACACCCATCTCTCCCTTTTACACACATACACACACACGCACAAACAATTCCTGGTGCCTGGTTTTCAGAGGCATACGGTTACACAAGGGGGTTACCTTTGAATGTTTAAGAGGGACAACCTGTGGAGAAGAAAGTGAGTCCTGAGGGAGCTGGTGTACATTCTGCCCCTCTCGCTCTTTGTAGTGTTTCTGACAAGAGGCAAACAGACTGACTGCAAACAGAAGTCCTTTCATTCTTTCATCTTTTAGCTTGAGCACCTGTTGAAAATGTTCAAATTTCACTTAAACCTTAATGAGTTTTTTTTTCTTTTTCTTTTTCAACAGAAGAGGCTGTGAGAAAAGGATTTAGTTTCAGATGGGAAGTCTAATATCTCCAGTGACTATTCTTCACATGCAGGCCCAATGCAAACAAAACTTTTGGTGTCATAACAACTTTTATGGGGCCTTCTGTAGAAGTAGGAAGTGAAACAGAGAAACAGATAGGAACCTGAGCGGCACAATACCTGGTTTGTTAATTAGCTCAAACTAACACTGTGACGGGGTAAAAATGCTGAACCTTTTGTGAAAGAGCTCATGTAATGTGAAGAGGCATCACATTTAACAACAACAATGCCCACTCACTACAGGGTTAGAGCTCTGAATAGTCACTGCTGGGATAACAGAGCTCATAACGTCTCTCCTATTAGGCTAGTAACAGTAACTTACCAGTTGTGTTTGTTATGTAATAATGGAACCTAAAATAACACTAGTTTGAAAACGGTAAACTACACTGGACAAATGGTGAGTGTTCATATTATGTCACTTAAAAGCTTTGACCAGAGCAGGAGCTTCACTAAACATAATGTGTACCATTGTTACAGGTTCTGCTTTTGTTTCTGCTGTTCCCCAAACACTTTGGGGAACTCCATTATGGCACCGCTCACCAGAAGTGATGCTGAAAACAGCTTTCAGAAACTTTCAGATTGACATCAGAAACTTTCAGATTAACAGCAACACTGTGGAGCATTACTGGTCAAGAGGCTGTGTAGACACATCACACCAGGTATGGATGGGTTCAGTAAACATGACAGTGACCACCACTGTACAACGCTTTGTATCAACCAGGACTATCAATGCTTTAAGAAAGTAAAACAATAGAGAATGTTTGTTGGAAAAATGGATGTCATTATGGGGAAGCTAGGGGAGCTGGAGTCAGTAGTTAGAAACCAAAAGACTTCCGTCCTCTCCAAATTTAATTTGAGATGATTGTCCCTTTAATAATTAACTCAAACCAAAGACAAAGATAAAGGTACCACAGGCTGAATGCATGTGGATGTAGGGGTGCAGAGCCTAAATCTTTCTATTCCAACTCGAAATCAAACATTAAATATCCTACTTTTTCACTGACATCTGCATTTGTGTGATATCATTGTGCAAGAGAGATGCAAACAACACATTTCAGGGTGCTCATATTTCAGCATCCTGGTGCGGTATCTGTGGCTGGGACCTGGCCGGTTTGTGATTGGCTCTGCTCCAGAAGCATCCTCATGTTGCAGTGTGCAAAGTGGTTGCCTCTATCCCAGTCTCTCTCTGTCTCTTGTTTCTCACACACACTCACAGCAGCCTGCAGCACATCAGTAAACTGCCAAATCATCAGTGTGCCTAGTGTGGCAGGGGCTCTTTTGCCCAGCCTGATTAACATTAAGTGGATCTTCGTAATTTAAGGGAGTGTTACAAAAGATGAGCAACTTCAAATGTGTTATGGGACACGCTGTACACAGACAACACCAGCCTTATGCCGGCACAAGCAAAAACTGCAAGTGCATGCAATATGTGCAGCCTAGTGTGCATCTTTATCAGTAATAATTTATGGGCATTATAGGATATAACATGAATCAAGGAAAACAATTTTCTCAACAGTTTTTGTTTCAAACTAACCCACCTCATTTCCCTCACTATGTGATTTCTACTGTAGAACTTAAGTGGGATAAAGCCTTGTGATACTATAGTGTTCATAAGTTTCTCCACAGCATTACAGTCTCAATCTCTGGTGACAGAAAAGTTACTGTATCTTGTTTTGGGTAACACTTTTATATGAAAGCCCCTCCTGTGAGCTTGAAAGCCACCACACAAAGTTAATAAGAAGATTCCTAGCACAGCTACACATCAATACTAGAACTGCAAGAATTAATCGTCACATAGAATAATGATTTCTTCTGCTGTGTTGCAAACATGGCAGAAATAACAGAATGTGTCTACAAGCTTCCTTCTATATTTTCATGCTATTTGAATTACACCATTTGCAGCGTTATTGCTCTGTTCTGCCAAAATAGATGCAATGCTACAAACTCTTAGTCCTCTTGAAAGGATTCCAAATTCAACAGGTGGAGTTGTAAAAGATATCACTTCTCCTGAGTCCAGTCTGTGCTGTGCCACTTACGCTGATTGTCCCAGCTTTGCTATAAATCCTTGAATGAGGCTCAGGAAATTGGCAAGTTCTGTGTCCAACTGATTCATATGCATGCATGTGTCCTTCACAGGAAATAAACCAAATCAGTGGGATCCTCAGAGCAGAGGGATGGGCTACCGGACCAGGGCTTCTGTTTTTTTCTGCCATTTTCAAGTAATCTGCTACTGTCCTGTTTTTTTACAGCTGTATGTTTCAGGTGTCTTTGTTTAAATGGGTCAAAAACCTCCAGAACTTGTGAGTTTGTGAGATATTTCTCATTAAGTGAGAGGACGCACCGTTAAAAGGTTAATGTTTATGGATGACTGCCTTCAACCAACACAGCGGCTGTGTCTGTCACTCTGTGAGGCTTTGCCTCTCCTTTTGCTGCCTGTAATGGAAACCAGCAGGGGTCCGGCCTGGCTCAGAAGCAGAGGCAGTGCTTTTTATCACCCCAGCCATGATGAACAGAAGCAGGAGCAGACCAGGGGGTAGCAGGAGGGAAGGAAGGGGTGGCAAAACCCAGACATGCTTGTATAGCCTATATCGACCTTCCCACATCAAAGAGCTTCTGAGTAAGACTGGGTGTTTGCACAGGCCAGTGGGTTTTTAACCAAAATAATTTGCTTTCTTCTTGAAAGACCTTTCATTCTGGGTAGCCTTAAACTGTGACTTTAAAATATTGAGGATTTGCATGCCCCAAATCAGTCATGTGCAGTTTTCTGCAAATCAACTGACTGCTGAAAGCTGGGGTGTGTGTTTAAAATGAAAAACATTCTTAAGAATCTGATAGCCACTGGCCAGGCTGCTTGGTTGGCACAGAGCTCCTCCCACCTCCCTCGGTGTCCCCATGCTGCTGCAGAGGACTCCTGCTCTGCTTCAGTGCTCCACCTCTGCACAGGCAGCCTGCAGCAGCAGCAGCACACGCTCTCCTGGCTCATTCACTTGTCGCATGTGCAATACGAGCTTCTGCGAGAATCGGAAGATCAGTTACGATACAGTTGTGTTGATTTTTTTTTTTTTGTGTGTCTGTATTTTTTTGGAGACGTTTGTGTTGCCAGGGAAGACAAAGTACCAGCAGGTAAGCAGTCAGGCAATAAATAACCTTGGCTACTTTAGCGTGGCTACAATGTAGCTGGCGTTTTCTTTTTCTTTTCCTTCAGATACACCTATTTTATTAGCTCCGTGATAAAGGTTGAGCCTGGATATTACACCTAAATTCCATGTAGGTGATTCAGTTATTGCCATTTTGCTAGGTCCCTCGAGTTACCGGGACACAAACCTGCCATAAACCAAATTTGGCCGAGAGTGTTTAGTCAAATCGTTATTTCCCAAATCTAAAAAAGCGGAGGCTCAAACCGACACGTGCTGCGTTAAAGCAGGTGCTGGTACACAAACATTTACAAACATGAAGCTGGAAGTTTGGGGGGATATTTGTCAAAAGTTTCCAGAATATCTGGCGGAAACCCCTACTGAGTATTTAAAAACCGGGCTGTGCCCCCTGAATGAATGGGCTGCGTGAGCGGAGCATGCGTGACAAATGTTAGTCGTAAAAGAATGTGTATTCACAGTGGGCGAGCACACGCTGATGTGGCTTGGTTATTAGTGTACGTGAGCTGTAGGTTGTCTGGCACATTTTGATTAGGAATGTTTTTATATGGACGTTCAATTAAGTGCGCGTGCGTTTTGCTCTGGCGCGGCAGAGCAGTTCAGTAAAAAGCAGTCAGCAGATCAATGCAGTGGATTATGTTACAGTAACCTTAGAATAATAGCCATCAAATGACCTATACTTCATGTACACCGCTCGAGCATGTGTGCGTGCGCGTGTCAGGGCATCACGCGTCTGCTGCTGCTGCTGCTTGCTGCTGTGTTTTACCAGCTGTTTAGTGTTGGTAAGCTTTCTAAGCTTTACCTTAATGGCTTGTTACAGTCACCATATGTGTGGGCTGCTAAGTTAATTAATTAATCAATGTATTTATTTTGCCAAGATTGCATCCTGATATCATTTAATATGTTACAGCTGTTAGCTCAAAGCAGGTACCTAGTGTTTCTTTTTTTTATTCCAAGTAAGCAGGCCTGCAGTTTCAGCTTCCAGACAAAGGTGTTTTTTAGAGACATCTAGTGGCCAGAGGACTGTGTGTGATGGTTAGTGTGTACAGAGCTCATAGTGGGGTGTATATTGTGACTTTAAGGTTCATAATGTCTTTGTTTGGTGGTCACGACACTAGATTCCACATCAGGCCGACATCCACCCGCAAATCACTTTTCCTTGTGTTCGGCTTGTTTTACGAACCCTCTGGGTTCTAACATGGTCATAAAATATTTGTTGTTATGTGTTGAAGACACAACTTGAATTTATCATATGGCTGAACTTCTGGCAGTTCTGCTTTGTGTTTCTGTGCATGCTTGTCCAAGAGGAAAATGTGAAATATTGGACCTTGAGCTTGAGAAGGTGTGGGGAATGTAGACGGCAGGGTCTATCTCTCTTCAAACAAACAGGCCTGAACATGTCAGCAGTTAAAATAACCTCAAATTGAGGGGCAGTTTGAGATATGTTTCTGTTTTTTGTTGGAAAATACAGAGGACTGAAAATGTTGGGCATTTCAGGTTAACCTCCCTCGTGTCCTCTGTGATTGCCAGTAATTCCCACTGGGAATGTACAACAATAGAGACTAACTGTCCTTTTGGTTCAGTAACTTAATAAACATACCAGTGATGACTGTCTGTGCCATAAAACCCCCAGACATGTTACTGACTGGCAATCAGTCCTTGTAAGCGTTCTCATAAGCAGTCAGCCTAGCAGCCTAATGATCTGTGTGTCTCTGATCAGTCATTGCTGCATATGACTCGCAGACAGTGCCATAAGACGTTAGGCAAGGCTTAGTTTCCTCTTTCGCAGGAACAGTTAAACAAACAGTGAACTAGTGAGTGCTTTCCTGCTCAAACTGAGTCAGGCAGAACAAAGAAAAATGTAAACATACATTATCTTTACCAGCAGGAAAACACTTCATTCCTATAGGATTAGTAGATGGCAAGGTTGTCATACTGGAGCCATGAATTACCAGGGGTCTCAGCTTGTCTCAGTTATTCCTTATCTTTTGTTATGATATATTTTGTGGTCAATAAGCAAATATAGAGCCAACTAAAGAATCGCTATGCCTAAGTGCTAGGGGAGTAATTTGTCATTCTGCTGCTCCTTATGTATTTTCCCCCTGGATAATGCATCTATGTGGTGGGCTAATGTAGCAGTATGTCATTGCAGCACATTGTTGAGAGGCAATTTAAGCTGTGTAAAGAACAACTGACCTCTTTGATTCTGTGTTGATCTTCTCACTGTCAGTCTAGCTAAACAGGACACACAGGGAGAGGTAGGAGTTGTGCGTGGGTCAGTTTGTTTGTGAGAGTAGCAGGACATACATGTGGAGTGGGAGGTTTGTGTGGGGAAGGGGGAAGGGAAGTTGTGGGATTCACCCTGGTGAGACTTGCGCCTTTAGACATTCCTGAAATTCCGACCTCTGGGATGCTTGAGGCACCTCCATCTTCTTGTAGCATGTTGGGGGGCTGCAGAGGATTCTGGAGGGCTTTTATGTTGCCAGGCTCACACCGGCAGCCCCTTTGGTTGAACATAAACCACATACCCTCTAATTTAGGAGTCCATGGGAACAAGTAGCACAGTACACACTGGGTCTTCTTAAGTTACATCTGCGGATGACACTTAAATCCTAACAGACATCTTCAGTGAGCTTAGAGACACTTGTTCACCCAGACTTCCACATCACCGCGACATTTTCAAGTGTTCTGACTTTTTGCATCTTGATTCAAAAACCACACATCTCAGATGGAAAAATAAAGGCAATAAATAAATAAAAAGTGTAACCAATGCACCAATCCAACAGTTTCTTTCCAGATACAGATTCTTGCACCTCAGCTCAGGCTGTCTGTTGAGTACAGATCCAGTGCCCGTGCTCTGTTCTTTCCAAATTAAAACTCTAGACACTTCATTATGTAGCGCAAACTGAAACGATTTCTATGTAAAATATTATTAGTCAGCGTCAAGTCAGGCATGTTACCCATCCAGCTTATTGGATCAGTACATTCAACAGTTTTAAGTGTTCACAAAGACATGAGGGAGTATAATTATGATGCAAAAAATGGTTAGTTAGGGATCATGATTTCATTTTTCTAATGGTGTACTTCATTCTTCTTTCTCTCTCCTCTACATGCCGCCTTGTGATCAACATCTTGTGACATTGTGGTCAGCCATGAGAGTTGATCCCGCATCTGCAAGGTGCATCCACAGCCACTTCTGACCAAATCTGATTTAGCAGACCAAAGATGTCAGCGTGCAGTGACTTTGCTGAACACGTGTGGAAACCTGGCTCTTGCAAGAACTGCTTCAACCCCCTTAGTGCGCACAAGACTGTTGGTGGTCTGGATGGCAGCACGCCAGCTGCTTCTTTGAAGAGCAGCCTGGGAGGTGATGAAGAAGCTGTAGTAACATCACCTTCACCCTACAGCAAACCAACCATCGCCGTTAAACCCACTATGATGAGCCTTGACACTAACGACTCGATTGATGTCAACATGAACATAGAGCAGGTGCATTTCTGAAGTCTCTTTCCAGCATCAAACCTCTTTCTGTCTTGATATCTGTATCTGTTTTTAATGTGTGCTCATGTTTATGTGCAACAGGAGAACAAAAAGAGCCCAGTTGAACGTTTGGGCCTGAAGAAGCTCTTGGGCCTGTCATCTCTTTATATTGATAGTAATGGCTGCAACAAGGCCCATAGAGAAGCAGTTCTTCAGAGTCCTGAAACCAAGATGGACTACAATTGCTTATCTTTGTCTCCCTTGTCCCCCAGTAGCCCACCTAAAGACTCCATGATCATCAGCAATATTTTTGTCACCCAGGAGGAGGGTAGAGGTTCTCAGAGTTTAAAGAAGAATGCAAATGGAGAGATCTGTAGGCAGCAGAACAGAACAGCCGCTATTAGAACCAAGAGCACTTATAATGGAAATGGTGTGACTACCAGGGCAAATTATCAGGAGGCCCATCAGCCATCTGTGGAGATACCTTTTTCAGTAGATATTGTACCTTCTAGTCCTGCTAAAATCCATAGCAGTGGTATCAGCAATGTGAGTACTGCTACTATTACCACTAAAACGTCCAGCACTTCTTTGTCTTCCCCCACCACAACCTTAAGTGTGGACACCACTAACCACAGTCCCCCAACATCCCTCCACTCTGTTCCCATTCTGTCTAAACAGACCAGCCTTTCGGACTCCTCTTGTTCTTATCTTAGCAGTACAGATTCACTTCCTGGAGCAGAGGGGTTGGGAGGAAGGCCAGGCAGGTCAGGGAGCCCCCAAGGTCCACCAGCTACAGATAGCCCACAGTCAGCTCCCAACTCTCCCAATGGACAGCCAGCCTCAGAACCCATTTATGCAGAGAGCACCAAGAAAAAGCGCAGGTCGCAAAGAAATGGAGTGCAGTCCCACCCCGAATCCCCAAACCAGAGTAAGAACGCATCCGGCTCTGAGCTTGAGCTTTCAGGAGAGAGTCAGCGAGCCACAATCACTGTAATGGCTGCTCACACAGAGGAGAACAACAGGACCTTCTACCTGAGCAGTCCAGATTCAGCTGTCAGCACTCAGTGCCACTTCAGCCCCACAGTACGTAAAGACCCCAGCAGCCCAGCCTTCCGCTGGCCTAGCCCCAGCCACAGCCACAGCACACCCTCTCTGCCAACTGAAGCCAGCTTCACCTCAACTCTTCACCCCAAGCCTCAGTCTAGTCCACCCATTCCCCCAAAGAGGAACACCCGCTCCCCAAAACTGGGCACCTCCAGCCTCTCACCATCGGTGTCCTCTCCAGTCCCTCTTTCTGAACTTCCCAAAATGGGCACTTCCAGCCTCTCATCGTCCATCTCGTCTCCCATCCCGCTCCCCGAACTTCCTATGCTTTTCCTCGTCTCTGCTAGAGAGGGCCATTTCAAGGTTCATACAGAGAACCACAGCACAGCATCTGAACGCTGGCACAAGCAGCACCACCACCATAGTTCTGGCTGGAACAGTTGTATTGAGGAAGAAGAGGAGGAGGAGGAGAGAGAGCGGAAAGAGGGGGAGAAGAAGAAGCTGGCTGTCAACCTGGGGACAACCTCCTGGGAGACGGGCCTGGTCAGTGGTGCCGCTGTCTGGAAGGAAGCCAGGGACTGGAAGGTCCACAGCAGCCCGCCTCCAGTGACCGAGCCAGGCACGGCCACCCTGCCTGCCCTGAACAATGGTGCCTGTCATGGGGAGACAGAGGGCATCAGCGTAGAGGAGGAGGGCAAGCATAACAGGAGCATGCCGGCCAAGCAACCGTTGCATGGTGGCTTATCTGAGCTGCTGGCGGCAGGGAAGGGAGCTGCCAACAATGAGCCCAATCCACCACCTCCCCCACCAAAGAAACTGCACAGGTAAGAACAACAAAGAGTGTTTTGTTTCAAATGTATACATTTAGTAATTAACGCTTGAATAGGATAGAACACTGGTACTGTTTCTGGGTAGGACTACATTCGAAAAATCCTTGAAAAACATTGTTTGCATTATTATTATTCAGTTAATCGTGTTGTCAGTGAGATGTCACAAGTGGTGACAAAATGCTGATTATAGATTAGTGTGTGTTAGGCTGTAACTTTGACAGTTTGACCAACAGACACAAGATGTCAAGGTACTCTTAACAAAATAAAGCAGTAAAAAGTAAGGTCTTTACAGTTGGGAAGCTGTGACCTCTAGATGACACGTTTTCTATAGATAAAGACTTCCATGATTAATTATATCTCACTGCCATTATTCAGTTCCCTCAAGTTACAGTTTTTGATGAAAATGCTTGTTTTGGTACCGTTTCGTGTAGCTAAAGACATCCAGCTGCACAAAATCTTAATTGTAATTTCCAATTATACATTATCATAATGCTATTTTTTATGCTAAAGGCAGAGCACAGAAAATACACCAGTCATTTTGAGGAAGGGTTGGTCTTAAATACTGTTTACGAGAAGGCTGCTATGTAAAGAAAAGAGGTTTAATTACACAATAGCGTTCTATACACTTGCTGTAACATGAGTGCTATGCATTTATCACACTTGAACTGGTCATTATAGCACATATTTGTGTTGGAGTTCAGAGTTTTCTACCTGTGACTTACATTAGAAGTAATAGGACAGCAATTCGGCCCTGACCCTGTGGTTTCAGTATATTACATCACTTAGCACAGTCTTGGTGTGTGACTCTCTGTCTCTTTAGTGTTTAGTGCATGTGCCTGTGCACATACTGCAGTCATTTGTGTGCATCTTACTGTGCTTTCTCCTTTCATAGCATCATTGTTCAGTCTTGATTCAGCCTCCATTCTAGTGCCTTGTGATCATTTAAATTGTTCCGGTATATTCCTCAATGTCCGCCTTGTTCTATTCATGCTAGTAATGTGACTTTCTCAATTCTAATTAACACACAGAAGGAGTCTGTTAAATGGCCCTTTGCTGTGTCATGTTGATGTAAATTTGTTTTGGCTGCAGCACAGTAGACAGAACTGTAAAAAGGGGGAAACTGGCCTATTGATACTGTCGTACAGGGACAAAGTTGGCATTAGCAGCATTCAGATGAATATTTGGGTGAAATGATCACATTTGCACTGTTAGCATGATTGTGCTTAAATTGTTGGCGTTCATATGTTGCCGGTGTAACGCGCATCCTGGTTATTTATAAGGCTGAATAATTACATCATAGGAAACACAGACTAATAAATGTTCTCCTTTTGCTCAAGGCTCACACTATCATTGCAACCTACTCTACACAGGGCTCCTGACCTAAACAGCCATTTGTTAGCGGTAACATTTGCATGTGTGCTTTAACCTGAGTCTGCATGAGGTTAAGAATACACTCCACTGTCTGAGTCAGCTACCCAAAGCAGAAACAGAGAAGAGCCCTTGTGTTGCAGTTATTAGAGCATCAAACAATCTCCTCAAAATAAACTTTGCTTTGTCTGGGTCAGCATGAGGAGGTGCAACACACTATTGTGGCTTCCTCGAGACAAACAGATTCTTTACCATCTCAAGTTGCTAGAGTCAGCAAAAGCTGAGTTGGAATGTTCTACTGTCAAGAACACAGATTGCTGATCACGTTTCAGGGGCTTTTATGTTTGTGGTAATTCTAGTAAGGACCTATCTCTCCTGTTAAGACATTGCCGACATTCTGCGCTGGTAAAAATATACCTTGTTGAGACACATGTGGGAACATGCCTTGAGCCAGCCAGCGACAGTTGTGGCTTTTGGTCTTCCAAGTTTATCAGTGGGTATAGAGTGTTTAATCAACAAGCGTCCCTGGGCACCAGGCATGTACTGGAAACTCAGTGGCAAAGTGCTGCAGGAACATAGAATGTTGTCTGCAGAGCAGTCAAAACTTCATGCGAAGATTTATTATTGACAGAAAAGGGAATTCTGTGTGGACTGAAAGAAAACCATTCACTATACAAAAACATGCATCATGCCAAGCAACATTTTGATGTTTGAAAGATCTGCCTCCCAGAGCCTTTGATCACCGTGGAAAACACCAACATTTCCCTGTTTGATTCCTTGTAATGGGCCATTTTACATATTGTGCTGGGTCAGCCAGTGTTTGTGCATGTGTTTATATGATGCATGAGTATGTGTAAGTACTTTTTAAGGGGAGTGTGTCAGCTGGTCAGTGATAGTGGCCAAAGGGAGGGAGTTTAGTGAACAGATTGTTGCCCCTGGCAACTCCCAGAACAGCCCCAGTCTGGCAATTGGTTGCCACCAAAAGAAGTAGAAATTATAGATCAGCTCTGTGGATTCAAGTCCACTGGGTTTGACTTGGGTTGGAATTGATTTACTTTCTAAACTTCAGTTTCAAGACGTGTTGCCCCTCCCTCCGCAGAGCCACCCTGACCCCCCTCTCTGTAGCAGAACAGATAGCATCTTGTTGCCATCTGACAGACCTAAAGCTGCTCTAAAGCGAACCACTGAGGGAACGATATAATTGACATACGGGTGCTTTAATTTTGTACATCTAATGGGTGCTGTTGCTGTTCCCTGTTGAGAGAGACTTTAAATACACATTTGACTTGTGTGGAGTCAGGGTTGTATTACTGCACATGGTGGGGCTTTAGTGAGCCACCAGTGTAATCCAGGGGCATTTTGTGCCCACCTGCCTCACAAGGATCTCTGCCTCTCCTGCATGAGGTAGGCACCTGATGATAACTTCTTCTTGTATGTGTTATGTCATTAGACTTGTGAAGAGAAATGGTGATGTACTTGTTATAAACCACGGTGGCGTGATATGTAAGCAAAGTCCTGGGCTTATTTCGCTCCTCTACCAACCAAAATTCAGAAGTGGCTTTGAATGGTGTGGTGACAGATGGCATGTGGTCAACTTTTTGCTCATTTTGTATTCCCTTTGAAACCGTGCCTTTTGCTCTTCTAATCTCTTCTAATCCTTTTCTGGCCAGACGATCTTATTCTTTCATTTAAGACCATCCTGGTGGTAAGATTAAAATAGTGGCAAGATGAAGAAGATAAGGAGTGAAATAGATTATGAAAAAAGTGTTTTAGGGAGAGGAGAAACTAAATTAAATTAGCAGAGTGATGTATTCAAATTAATGAAAGTGGGTTGCAGTAATCTGTGATAGACTGGTGACCTGTTCAAGGTGTACCCCGCCTTTCGCCCAATGTCAGCTGGGATTAGCTCCAGCCCCCCCACAGCCCTCTTCAGGATAAGCAGTATAGATCATGGATGGATGGGTTGCAGTAAATCAGGGAAATATGGCAGATGAAGAAAATAAAGCAAGGCTGGAGCAGTTTGTGAAAGATGCAGTTTGGTGTGAAACATTAATGGATCTTTGGTTTATACGACTATATAGCCATGGCAACTATCCTGCAATCATGGGAAAGAAACAAAGGGTGTCTCTCTCCACTGCAGTGTGTTGTAAGAGGTTGCACACATGATAGAATGCAATTCAATACAACAGCAAGTCAATAAATACTACCTTTGTGAGTCTAAATATAACATGAAATGATCCCATAAGAATATCATTTGTTCAATACAGTGGCGCCACAAATACAGTTTGATCAATTCCTCTCTGACAGCCTCATTAGACACCAAACATTGCTTGTTGTAGGGGATTGCATTACACTGTGCAGGTGTTCATGATGCCACCTCCGCGTTTTGTAGTAAAGCCTGAGTCGGCCTGCTTTTCTATTTAATGCCATCTGATTTTTAACAAAACCCGGAATTATATATGTTTGTTGTAGTTCATGTTTGAGTACCAGATCACTCTTAATGCTACAGCATATAACCCCAAATCAGAAAAAGGTTGGGATTGTATGATGGTAAGACAATGCGAAACCTCATACTGCACACATTACCAAGGCTTGGCTGCAGAGGAAAATGGTACGAGTGCTGGACTAGAGTGTGTGCAGTCCTGACCTGGTGCCAATAGAGAATGTGTGAAACGCAAATTGTGTCAACAAAGACCCAGAACTGTTGCGCAACTTAAGACTTGTTTGCAGGAAGAATGGAACAAAATTATACCTGACACTTTTAATCACTTGCTCAGTCCCTTAACATCTAAGTGTTGTGAAAAGGAACGGCAGTGTCACACCATGGTAAATGCTTTGCTGTCCCTCTTTTGGAATGTGTTGCCAGGATCAGAATTGAAGAGTGCTTATTTTGAACAAAGAATAAAACTGATGAGGTATCATAACAAACGATGTGCTGCTGTATTGTTTTCAATGTAATACAGGGCACAGATGACTTATAAATCACTATTGTCAGTTGTAATTTAGATTTTACATACTGTCCCAACCGTTTCTCACTTGGGGTTGTATAACCATCTTAAATTCTAACTTCTACTAGACTTTTATCCTCTCCATTATAAAACGGACTCGACGAGTGAACGTGTGATTCTGCGTATGCAAGCAAAAGATGCACCAAATGGGCATTTGTGTCTCAGATGTCATCATGTTATACAGTGTATTTACCACAGAGAAGGCCCTAAATAAAAGTCAGGAAGTGAAACCAGTTAGATGAACCAGATCAGAAACAACTGCAGTTTAGTTTGGGTCTTATTTTACATGGCCATACTGCTACTGTATCTGTAGCTTGTTAGCTATAACCCCAATCTGAGTGCTTTTTAAAAACTTCCCCAGCTCCTTTTTCACACAGCTTTATTAATACCACATATATACACACACACACACACAACAGGATAGCATGTGTGTTAGCAATGTGTGGTTTACTGTTGTTTACATTCTAAATTTGGGTTGCCAGTCTGATTGCAGAATATAAACCTCATCTGACTGGTTTACTGGGGTGATCATGTCGTCTCACATAATTTGTTTTAGCAAAGAAAACTGGCAGTCAAGATGTCTATTAATAGATGTTTAGGCTAGAGCTGAGCATTCCAAGCACAGTTATAAAATCTTGATAAACAGTCCAGTTTTGTGTCATAACTTACATTTTATATCCTACTGTATGAAGCTAAAATCATTTGGGTTACTGGTGACGGTTGTAGATAAAAGGCCCTTGCTCTGGTGGTGCTGGCGCTGCCCTTGTTGCTTGTCCCCACCCTGGGATTGAATTGACAACCTTTTTCAGCATATAAGATGAATATGCTATGGACCCAGAGATTGAGCAGTGAAGGTATTTGTTACAGCACCTAAATGCTTGTGTATTCTTACATGCAGTTTTGCATACCAACCTTAGAGATCTAGAGTGATACATGGAGATTGACTCATAATCCCTGCACTCATTACCATTTCTCCTCTGTCCCAGCTTTTCCATTACCTTTCATCATGGCTCCTTTGCCTGTAAAATGATACCAGATCTTTTAGCCAACTGCCCTGAGAGCATGCCCCACCTTTTGTCTTCCCCTTTGCTCCTCTCCTTTTCTCCTCCTCATCTGTTTGTTCTGATGATTTATGGTTGAACTGAAGTCAGGGGTGAGTAGATAAATGGAGAGAGATGTAAAAGAAGAAAGAGAGATGATGGGATGGGACCCCACTTTTCTGAACCATTAGCTGGTATAATGGGACAGGTGAATGGCTGTCAGTCACCCTAATTGGTCACCTTGAGTAGATGTGCACAGTTTTCACTGGTGTTACGAGCGGCCATTGTGGTAGACAGCCAAACTGAAAACAAGTGATTAAAGCGGGATTATGTAGTATAGTCTTCCTCTTAGAAATGACAGTTACCACTGCTACTCGAACATATCCAAGTACCACAGCTCAGCAAGGAACTACTATCCTGGGAAAAAAAGGAAATTTGTCCTCAGAAGACTGCAACTTAAAAAAAAAAAAAGAATTTTAAAATTAGCTTATTGGGTCAGCTGAAGTGTCATTTGAGCCTCAGACAAACTTTGGTGTATGTTTTTACACAGAAACATGGCTGTTTATTTTGTCCCCCATTTTTTAACGGTGTACTCGCGTTCCATGTGGAAACCTTTAGGGTCAATAGGAAAAGTTCCAACGGTAAAGACCTATTCTAACACACATATGGGCACCTCAAGACTGTTTTAAGACCAACTTAAAAAAAAATTCCAAGCCCATGCTCTAAACAATAAAAAAACACCCTTGCTGAAGTCAGTACACACATGGGTTTTGCTTCGGCAACTTTACTTGGTCTGGAATGACCAGTAGCTAACGTATGACATCATTTTATCACAAAAATACTCTCCTACTTTGTTAAAACCTGGTGACTACATTACCCACAATACAACCCAACCAGAGAGCATTCAACTGCACATTCAGGTGCTAGTAGCAGCTAATGTATCCTAATCTTTCTCTGTACCCACAGATTTTTTTGTTTTGTTTTTGTTTCCAAACCTGTAACCTTGGGCCACAGCCTCGTTGGACTTTTGTCATTAGTACTTTGTTTTAGGCCTCCCTAACACCTCTAAATCTGGGATGTGTAAAATCATTTAAATCAACAACCTCAGGAATCTTGGGAAATTCAGTGCGCAGTTATATAATTTCCATTTGTGGACACCGTTAAAGGTCAGTCTCACCTCAAGAGTCAGATATGACTAGTGATATACTTGAGGCAGGAGTACCGTCTTACTGTCTTCAAAAAAAAGGGAGCAAATATCAGAACTAAGCAAAACTACCATATCCGTTAGTCATGTCAGGGCTTTTTTGTTTTATTGTAGTTATAAATCAACACTACATCAAGAAGTCCATGCCTGACACTTTTTTTGTTCATCATTTAAAGTAAAGCAGTGTCTTCTGTCAAATGAACTTAGTGCAGCTGACATGAAACGGCAGCAGGAAGTTTAGTGGTTCCGCAGTTTTAAATACATGTACAAAACATTCTATTGCTGCAACAAACCTATAGGCTTAACTACCTTGGGACATCGCACTTGGGTAGGCTGATGTTCTGGAAAAACAGATGCATGCACAAGCAAATGGTAATGGAGACAGAAAAAAAATGTACATTAAATGTGGTTTGAATGTATAGTTCCTTTTATTTTTCCTATCTAGTTTGCTTTGTCTCTACTCCATTACAGAGTGTGCAGTAAAATAGGTGGCAGCAACATGGAGCTGGACCGCTGTAGCCAACAAGGGTCAGTAGAGAGCCCTACTTCATCTCTGTGGGGTCTGGGCAGTGCCAGAGCACCCACTGCCTCGGCCGATGACCTGACTGTTGACACTGGTAAGTATCGCTCAGTCAAATTTTGGCCAGTTGAGTCCTAAAGGTCCATTTACCCCCCCCTTAATGTTAATGTTTATCTGTAAAGATGCACTTTGTCCAGGGTGAAACTGGAGCGCTGCATGGTTTTACAGCAGCAATCTGACTGGTCCATATATATATAGTTTGCTTTGACCAAGTGTTCATTTTCATGATTGAGTTCAGGATTTCTACAATCATCAAATCTTAGACATGGCATCCATCCTTGGCTTAGAATTGGTCATCATTCGAATATCGGCTTTAAATCTCTGTGACGCTCAGTATTTGTAATTTTAACTTCCTGGGCAATATTTGAAGATATAATTATGGAGTCTGATAAGGAAAAGGGGCTTGGCCACGTCCCATGTAGTAGTTTATTCTTTTACAGTCTTCCCTCTCTATGAAAGCAGTTATTGCAGACTACACCACACAATTATCTCGGTATCACTCTTCTTTAGTGTAATGTCAAGTTCTAACTTTTAGCCTTTAATTGACAAATGGATCATAATTGGATGGAAGATGTTTTGAGTGTGAACTTGAGCCCTGGATTTTGGAAATTTCCAGCTCTTTTGAGAAAACAAGGTATGTTTTGTACTATGGCTATGAAGGAAGCAGTGACAGAAGGACTGTAGTAAAATCAAATTCCCAGCTGTCACCTAGGAATACACTGTGTGTACTGTGAGGTTAAAGTAAATCAACTCACAAGGACACAAGCACAAAGGGTATATTGTATTTTGTGAATCCACAAAGGAGGTAAAAAAAAAAAGTCTTCCATGGCCACTAGTCTCTGATTCTTTGTTTTTTTACTAAGTTGGTATGTGTGAATTAATTGTATTAACAGTATATACTGTATGTATATTCTCTGAAACGTGGTGCTTTCATTCTATTATTTGTCAGCCAAGGTTATTTGTGGTTAACTGCAGTAATTTCTAGCTTTTTACTACATATCAGAACACTTATCAAAACCTTTGTTCCTCATAATACCTCTGTACTTGACCTTGATCATGCAGTTTCAATAATAATGTATTGTTTTGTTTTTTTTTAGGTTCTCGAGATGCTGCACGAGTGGCTTGTGCCTCTCCATTTTCCAGAAGTCCAGTGGCCTCAACTCCAGGGTCCCCTCACCCACCTTTGTTTAACAAATTAAGTAACCAGCCACCTCCTCTCCCAGAAAAAAAGGTGGTCAACCGCACCGTGTCAGCTCCTGATAGTGCAAACGGAAGACCTGTTGTCCGAGCCCGCCCTTGCCTCCCATTCACTGGCTCGGAGAGCAGCATGTGTCGACCTACTGATGGTAACTCTCGGTCCAGTTTACCACCCAGTCCAACTGACCAGCGGTCTGTTTTCTCCTCCAACGAGTCTCTGGAGCATTGTCATGCCGCATTAGGCCGACCCTCGAGGTCCCGGACGCTGGATGAGCCACTGAAGACTCACGGACGTCTAGGTGTCCACTGCCGAAGCAGCATCACGTGTTCATCTTCTCCTCAGCTCAGCGTGCCCTTCTCAGCCTCAGAACCAGGTCCAGCACCAAATTTGGGCTCCAGCCTGCAGCTACAGACCCTTTTGAGCAACATTGATAGTAGAGAGGGTGTGTACTCTAAACTGGGAGGCCTGTATGCAGAGTCTCTGCGGCGCTTGGCTCTAAAATGTGAGGATCACTTTACCCGCTCCCAGAGGAACCCACTCAGGTTCGAAGAGAGCAACTGGTCTCTGTTCAGGCTCACATCTAACAAGCCAAGCTGCAACGCAGGAGATGCCGTGTACTACTCTGCTGCCTGTGCCTCAGACCCCAGCAACTCCTACGCTGTAAAGGTAAATACTGAGCCTATTTTGTGACAAGTATTTTATACAGTAAACAGGTTAAGTATGTTTGAACTTTATTAACTTCCAAAACACCTTAAATTACTAATCCTTAAGATTATAAGTACCTGTTGTTACTGATAGTAAAAGCAAGTTAGGTGTAAGACGACAGGTCCCAGGGCTGTAAACACTCCTTGAGCAGCTACTTTATCAGTAATACAACAAAAGATCAACTGTTCTATTGACAGTACAGCCAAACAAACTCATTTTATTTGAATGGGGATTAGGTCAGTTTTCCATCATGCATTTTTGATGAGTAGTTGCTGCCACTGGTAACCTTGGTAAATGCATTGTTTCGTTTGCGTTAAATATTTAAGATCTTGACAGTGACTGAACAGTCTTGCGGATAATGTTTAGACTCATCTCAGAGGTTTCTGTCACAAGAACAACTTGCAACTCATTCAAGATGGTCTCTACAGTTTAAGGAATGATTTGCACATGGGGTGTGGTACATTCTTCTAAGCCGGTGATTTGATAGTTTGATGGGATAGAATCAGGAGATTAAAAATGGGCATAATCTTGTTTGTTCTTAGGCGACAGCTGAGATGGTTCCACTACAGCACCAATAAACCTTCAGGGCATATAATGTAAACAGTCAGGAAGAAAAGACTGGTGTGGATTCAGTGTCGCTGACCTTTGTTCCAGACTCAGTGCTATACAAAGCCTTTTGTACAGTATGTGTTGTGTCACCGCCTTGGTACCTGCAGTGTTGCCTAATAGCTATGGGCCCAGTTAATCTTTACATTCCAGGATGGATTTACAGTCAAACAAACCACGGTTGTCAAGGCAGGCACACACACACAACCTAATACACGCCATATAGTTTGACAACATCCAACACAAAAACTAATGTGAAATCAGTGTTGGTTACACCGTTTCTGTTGGATACTCGGACATACTACAAATGAGATCCTCACAAGGAAGAGATTTTCAAATCTGATCCTAACACACAATGAGAATATAATGAACTATTGTTAGAGATTTGGGTGTGTATTCAAATTCTGATTAAAGGATTAAAATGACAAGTTTGAAATCACTTTTTGCATGAGGATCACTGACACAGAGGCTGTAGTGTTTGAAATTAGAACAAGTTGAGTCCAGTCTTGGAATGAACTCGCCCTACTACTGGATTCAAAAAGAATTTATTGAAGTTTTTCAGTGTAGAATTATGTTTAATCTCCATCAAGGACATTGAATTTACCTGAATGAGAGTAGGAACTGAACTGGCGTTGACCTTGGACCCTCACTAACAAGCATTCCTTTATGTTTCCTGGCTCCCCTTCCTTCTCATCTGTGTGGAATTCTTCCCTCCCCTCTCTGCCCCTTTCTTCTTCTTTGATTCATACCTTCCTCCCTCCACTGTTTGTGTTTATACCTCTCCAGATCTGCAAGAGCCCGTCCATGGAGGCCAAACAGGGCCATCTCTACGGTCTGTCAGTACAGCAGAGCATGCCTCCCCACTTCAACCTCCAGCAGGACTGTGGCCACTTTCTCGCTTGTGTTCCACAGAGCATGTTGCCTTCTGATGAAGTCACTCTTCCTACCACACCTGCTTCATCGTTGCCTCAGCCCTCCGTGATTGTGCCTGGCCAACAGGCAGACCGAGAGCGAGTGGTGGTCATCACCCCTGAGATCCCCCAGCAGACAGCAGCTGACTTTGTTCGGGAGTGGGAGGCATTCCATCAAACTCAGCCAGAGGTTTATGAGCGCCGTGTTTGCTTCCTCCTTCTGCAGCTCTGCAATGGCCTGGAACACTTGAAGGAGCATGGAGTCACACATCGTGACCTCTGTCTAGAGAATCTGTTGTTGGTGCCTCACCACCGCAGGCTCTCCCAGTTCCCCCAACATACAAACAATGACAACAGCACCAGTAATGGCTCGAGTGGCGTAGACGTTCAGCGTCACCTTCCCCGGCTTCTCATCAGCAACTTTGCAAAGGCTAAGCGTCGCTCTTCTGAGGATGCTGCCCTGACCAGTGTGGACCCCCGTATTAAGCGTGACCATGCCAGGTTAGCGCCAGAAATTGTCTCAGCAGCCCAGTATCGCAAATTTGATGAGTTTCAGGTGGGAATTTTGATCCATGAGCTCCTCCACCAGCCAAACCCGTTTGAGGTGAGTCCAGCACTGAAGGAACAAGACTACTACTGTGAGGACTTGCCTTCCATCCCCTCTGTCTCCCTGTACTCAGCTGGTCTCCAGAAGCTGGCCCAGCTCCTGCTGCAACCTGACCCCATCAAACGCATCCATATCCAGGAGGCCAAGCGCATACTGCAAAGCCTGCTCTGGGGCCCCAGGAAGGATCTGATGGAGCAGCAGCTGGAGAGACACGGACAGGGCAGAGGCTTTGTCGATGGTTCCCGACATGAGGGCCTCCTCAATTGGCTCGATGTGAAACGGGCCCTGCTGATGATGAAGTTTGCCGAGCGATCACTGGAGCCCGAGAGGAACGCGGAGCTGGAGGACTGGTTGTGCTGTCAGTACTTCTCCTCGGCTCACCCTCTGTCACTCTGCCACACTGCTGAACTGCTCTACTCACTGAAGTAATGGCTCGCTTATGGGAATGCGTTTGACACCGGTAATGTCAGCGTTAGTGTGTAGACACTTTGGACGGGTGCGGACAGTGCAAGTCTTTGGAGATGCTGTGAACCTACCCACCTGTTTGCACCACTGCTACATGCATGAGAGCCTTGCATCCATCTACCTGCTGACTCTAAACCTCTTGCCACTGTTTTCTGTCAAAGGACTGACCTGTGAACACAGACATAGACAGAATCACTAACATTCACATACAGACTGCCAGCGATGCTGATACATACATACATACATACAGGGCGAATATGGACAGTATTTATAATCCTATACACTTACCAAAGTTGACTTTGTATTGTGTATATTTATTAAATATCACTTGACTTTTCCATAGAACTGGCTAATAATTCATAACCTTAGTGTGTCAGCCAGCTTTGCAACGTAATTGTGTTGTATGGAAATATGCAGCCAACCTATAATTTGTCTGACATCTTAATGAACAGTTTACTAGCAGACTTAAACTGTACACTAAACAGTTTTTTCTTTCACAGAGTTCACATCATATCGTCCTGTGTGGAACCTACTAGTTGGAATGATCAAGGCAGCCTCTTGAATCATAATGAACTTGGTATAAATGAATCAGATCATACCGTCTTACACAATTCAATATTAACTGGCAACATTATAGCAATTGCTTCTGAATACACAACTCCCAGTTTTCCATAAGCTTGCTTTTGTTATATATTTAAATGTTTTAACATTTGTCACAGTGCCTTTTTTGTTACAGTGACAAAAGCCAAATGTAAATATTACTGATCATGTCCTTTGTGAAACTGGCCTTTCACAGGATGTTCTAGAAACTACTTTGTACAGCTATTTGTACATGGTATTAGGGGGGAAAACAATGAGCCCAAGCAGGTCTTAAAAAGCCATGAATATGAGCAACAGTTAAAAAAGATATTTATATGCTTTGTTATCCTGCACTAACACTGGAATTTCTCCGTTTATTTTCACGAGGATTATCAAGTTATTTGTTTTGGGCACAGCAGGAGCTGAGCCTGTTTTTTGCTTCCTGTGTCCCAGGTAAGCGGCTGAGGAAGCTTCAAGTTGAGAGCTTTTAATCCCCAGCAAAGAATTTCCTGATAAAGTCCATAGTGGCAAGAATTTAATAAAAACATAGGACACAATTTAACAGCCTGCATGCAGGTTTTTATGTCCATGACTGATGTTTCTAGTGTTACAGAAAAATACCTTGTCTGACCTCACATCTAATACATTATTGATCTGAAACAATCTGTTTGCCTCACTTACTTGCATCTATCAATAAACTGTGCATATATTTTCTCCCAGTATTAACTGATGTTTTGGCCTTATTTGTGTATATATCCATTTTAATGACTTTGCTATTATTGTCTTTTGCTTAGTCTCTGTTGTTAGGTGCAAACACACTATGCAAGAAAATTTTGTGACAAATTGATATTATTTTTGACGCGAGGCTGGTATTTCCAAATTAACCGATTATTTAATGGACATCCGTATAGTGCATAAGATACTGCTATGTCCTAATGCAGGGATAATGAAGCTAATGGACTGAGAAGCACAAGGCAGCTAACTGCAGGAGAAGCATCTGCTACTGTGGGAGAAGAGAGCAAGTGCATTGCATGGATCAACAACAGGTTGTATGTGTAGTGGAGCATCAATTTGAGTTTAGAGCCTCAGGCCAAAACAAAATCCACCCGCCACTCCCCATTATGTAGCTCTCTGCTTCACATCATTCAAAATCACCGGCTGCTCTCTTATCATAGGTGGAACTATGTTGCTATGGTATTTTGACCAATGGAATGGTATTTCCAGGTTCGCAGGTTCGCAGT